ATTTCTCGTGAAGGGATGAGGATATCCTTGTATGTTATTGAGAGATGAGGATTTCTCTCGAGGGGATGAGGATTTCCCCTGCATACCGATAGCTCGACGGCGGACGGGGCATTACAGGACCTGTCTGCAAACCTTTTATCTGGGAAAATACCTCCACATCTCAATTCTGTGAAGCAGGTGACGCTATTCCTACAAGACAATAATTTATCAGGGGCTATTCCGAACACATTGCTAGGTAATGTCACCATACTTGATCTGAGAAATAACAAATTGTCAGGGAATGTTCCAGAGCTCACCAACACCCAAAACATCAATATTCTTCTTTTGCGAGGGAATAGTTTAACAGGCTGTATTCCTCGACAGTTCTGTGGCCTTAGAAGCATCCACCTTCTACATCTTGCTAACAACAGACTGAGTGGATCCATACCCTCGTGTCTCAGCAATACATCATTTGGTTCATTCGGATTGGAGAAAGAGAATACGTCATATTCTTATGATATCAGCATGGCTTTCCTTGATACCTTCCCTAATTCTACTCCGGAACAAGACTCTACTTCCACAGAAAATGTTGGTATATATGTTAAGTCTCTTCTTATGCTAGGCCAGCTTAGTATGGACTATGATTCAGCTACCCAAACTAAAATTGAATTTGCAACAAAACATCGGTATGATGCCTACATGGGTGGAAATCTCCGATATTTGTTTGGTATGTATCTCTCAGAAAATGAGCTGAGTGGTGAGATCCCGGTAGAGCTTGGAGTTCTTCTGGAACTTTATGCTCTCAAGATCTATCTCACAATGATTTATGGGGTATGATACCAAAAAGCTTTTCAGGTATGAAGAACATGGAAAGCCTTGATCTTTCTTTCAACCAATTACATGGCCAGATCCCACCACAACTAACAGAGCTGAGCAGCCAAGCTGTCTTCAATGTCTCATACAACAACTTATCTGGAGCCATTCCACAAAGAAGACAGTTCAACACTTTTGATGCGCAGAGCTACTTGGGTTGGGTAACCCTCTTCTCTTTGGACAACCAACCAACATAAGCTGCAACAATAATACATTTCAAGAACCTCATGATGGAGTGAAGGACGATGAAGGCCAAATCGACATTGTATCTTTCTACTGGAGTTTGGCTGCAACCTATGTGACAATACTTGTTGGAATCTTCGCATCTCTCTCATTTGATTCTCCTTGGAGAAGATTTTGGCTCTACATCGTTGATGTTTTCATTCACAAGGCCATGAATATGTTTTGGTAATCTACTACTGGTGCCAAGTGCTTTACTATGCTAGTTTCTGTCATTATCTCTATCTGTTGTTGTTCGTCGATAAATCTTGTGCTGTGTAATAACGTCAGAACTTAATTTGTATTCGGTTCCTATGTACTGTCTTTGTCTTTGAAGAAATGTAATGTCTTAAACAATATAGGGTTTGAAACATTTTCTTATTCTTGGAGTACACGCACACAATCATAAATCAACACTTGTCTTTGGGTAATGATTCACGCGATGGGCTTCTGTTAGATTTATGTTTTGGGCATGTATTATGGGCTTGATCGAATACACCAGAATACTCTATCTGAAGTAGAGGGTTTCTTTACTGTCTTCACCAAATATTGGTTCCCTTCTTCTTTTCCGCGGTGTCGGATTCAGTACCCTTTGTCGACGAACCGATAGCGGTTTCCGATTTTTATATTATTTGCAATGAAAGGAAAGGTGTTCTTGAGCCAATACTTGATATTGGGGATGTTACTGTTGGTGCAGCTTCATTGTTACAGATGCTGTATTGGGAAAGAAAGAAAGGAAAGCTTTATTGGAGCTCAAGAAATACATAATCTCAAACAGTTAGTGAAGAAGAAGTACAATCCGACTATGTTTACCCTACTATTTTCCCTACTTGGACTAATGACACAAAGAGTGATTGCTGCCGTTGGGAGAGAGTTGAATGCAAACGTACAAGCAGGCGGGTTATCATGAATTGGATTTGTACAACAAAACAAAAAGACTTCTTTCTTTGCTGCATCCCTTTGAAGATCTTCGAAGTCTGGACTTATCCGAGTCCAGATTCAATGGATTCATTGAAGGTACACCAATCTTTCTTTTGTTGTTATTTGACCAGTTACCTGCTTGAAAGGTCCTACTTCACTTTTGCATCTATAAAAAGCAAGAATAACTTTCTTACTTGCAGGTTTTATAAGCCTGAGGAGATTCTGGATCTTTCTTTAAATACATTTAAGAACAACATCTTTCCTTTTCTTAATGCTGCTACTTCACTTAAAACATTGTCTCTTCCATGTCATGTGGATGGCCTTTTTCCTGCTTAAGGTGTGTTTCTCCTTTTACCTAGCATGTCCTATTCATTGACGATGCATCTTATGTTAGATCGATTCACTTTATAATTATTGTTGTAACTTTATATTTCTTACATTCAGTCTTTATCATTCTTATATATATGTTGGACTCAGCACTTATACAGATTTCAGGAATTTGGAACTGCTAGAAACAGAGCATCAATAAATTTGAACTTCTGCACTACACACGATCCCAAAATGTTATGAATCAGCC